GACTGGGGCCACTGGGGCTAGAAGGAGGGCTGGGGGCCAGAAGGAGGGCCAAGGGACTGGGGCTGCCAGGGCTGGGATGCAGAATGGGGGGGCAGAAGTAGGGTTGCCAGGTTTCTGGTTTTGAACTGGACAGTCCAGTATTTGAGCTTTCTGTTCAGGAAACAAACTGAGAAAATGTAAATGAGACAATATCAATGGCTGGTATTTTCTAAATAAGATGGAATGTAGATTGTGATGTAATGTCAAGCGTGTCCGGTATTTTTGTTGAAACCATCTGGCAACCCTGTGCAGGAGGTCAGGGGATTGGGGTGCTGGAGTGGGGAGACAGAGTGGCAGGATCGTGGCTGCCAGGGCCAGGAAGCAGGGAGCACCCATTGTGCTGGGCGTGGCCCACACAGGAGACAGGCCCTGTCCCATGGAGTTGGCAAGTTAAGGAAGGCAGAGTGAAGGTAATGCAGGATTGCATGGTCGGGGCTCAGGCAGTCCAGAGCACTACGTGCATTGGCCTCCTGCCACAGAGCAGAGAGGCAAGAGTCTCTTCATAGCCCCAGGGCAAATGCCCCTGAAATCCACCTCCTGTTCCAGGTGGGGCATCAAGGGGAGCATGTGGGATTGGGCTGGGAGATAAGAGCTGAGCTCATGCATGGCCAGAGGCATGGGAAGAGAGCAGATCTCCTAGGAATGTGAAAGGCGGGTGGGGGCTGAGCTACCACAGCCCAAGGGAGAAGTAAGGGAATGAATGTAAAGGGACCATGGCTGACTGAGGATATCTGGCAATGGGGTGCAGGGGGTGCCCTGAGCTGGGCCTATTACTTAGGACTTTTACAGCATGGCTGGAAAGTCACCACAGGGACTAGACCGAGCTTGGTCTCAGTTTGGTTGTTGCTGGGTTTAGTGTGGGAGCTCTGAGGGCTGGTAGCCTGTGCTAGCTGTGGGGGAGGGAGCAGGCTTCAGGATCTGCTAGTAGGGTTATCAGGTAGCTTCAGAAAAAATACCAGACACACTTGATAGGAAGGGGAGCGGGGCTGGCGTGGTCGGGGGTAGGGTGGCTGGCTGGCCGAGGAAGATCGGGAGGAGGAGAACCGGCCGGCAGGAAGCAGGGCTGGCCGGGAGAGGGAGGAGGAGAGTGGGGCTGGATGGCAGGGGGGTGGGCGGGGGGGGGGTGGGCGGGGGGGGGG